TGCATTACGGGGCATCCATCCCTAGGAATCTGTGGGGGGTTGCTTCCACGACTCCTCTCAGATACCAAAATCTGAGGATGCTCCAGTCCTTGTTAACAACAGCGTGGTATTTACATATAACCTACCCACATCCTCCCATATACTTTAAATCATTCCTATATTACTTATAATACCCGGTACAATGTAAATGCTGTTATACTGTATAGTTTAGGAACTAATGACAAGAAAAAAAAGTCTACATGTTCAGTACAGACACCATCTTGGCCTTGACTATACAGTAAAAGTTAGTAATACTGTAACATTTTCCCCCCCAATATTTTCTGTCTGGCTGGTTGAATCCATGGATGTGAAACCCATAGATTTGGAGGGCCAGCTAGACTTCTTTCAACAGCTTTGTGAGAGTGGCCCGCACAATTTTGTAGGTAATGATCAGGGAGGTAGTCACGTGCCTAACATCACACAGCAGGGAAAAGATGGAGCCAGGATTTGAACCCAGGTATCTCTGGCTGTAGAACTCGTGTTTTCCCTCTACATCTTGAAAAGGTGTAGATTCATTCTTGGGGGAGATCAGCATGGATCCCCCCCAAGAATGCCGGCCCACATGCTGCCCACTTCCCAGCCCCGTGGCATATTTGGGGGCACGTAGGGAGCAGAAGCGGTGGCCCTTCCTCGGCAGGACACATGGTGCACCCTGTGTCACTGAAGACTCCAGAATACAGCTCTGAGGACGCAACTGTACCCAGCTCAAAACCTTCAGGATGCCCTGTACTGCAGGTGATAGCCCTAATTCCTCAGCCTGGAGACCGAGAAGGCACCTTTCCTTGGCTCCCACCAGAATGTTATTTGTTCCGGCACAAGCTCCACACTTTCCTGCCTCTGCGCCCTCCCTCTGCCTGAGCCGCTCACGCCGCCACAACCCCAGGTCGAAGCCCTGCTCATCCCCCACACAGGCCCTCTTCTGGTCCTTCCCTCCACCATGGCCCTGAGCACTTACTGTTTGGGTAGCCCTAAACATGTTGCTCCTCGACCTGCGATGAAGCTACGTCCTGATACACCCGTCATAAGTTGCAAGTATGTTAAGTTGAAAATGCATCTCGTACTACACTGTAAAGTATCGGTGTTGACTCTCGGTACCCAGTGCCCGACGAGGGGCTGCCGCCCTCTGCTGCTGTCCAGCACCACACGAGAGGGTTGCACTGTGTATTGCTGGCCTAAAAAAGCTCAAAACTCAAAATCTGCAGGATGATTTCTACTGAATGTGTATTGCTTTCACATGAGAGTAAATAAAAAAACCCATTAAGTCAGACCTTCCGAAGTCAGGGACCGCCTGCACATGAGTTACAGGTGTAAATATCTCCCCAGCCCCCAGCCGTGAACTCCTGGAGGGCCGGGGCCCAGTAAATGACTGACACCCAATGAGGCAGAGCTTACAGGGGCTGAGAAAGATTCCTGAATGGTGGAGCCTGCGTTGCACCCTGATGGAAATAGGCCAGACCCCAGAAGCATCTCTTGAGCCACATTTGCAAGGATGCTGTGCACTCTGTCTTTGGAGATTTGAAAGCTGAAGGCTCCTTGGGGCCATCTCCCGCACCAGGGCTGAGGCTCGCGCCACCTGAAGAGAGCCGAGGCCAGGCTCTTGTCAAAGGGGAAGCGGCATCCTGCAGGGGCCTAAGAAGTGCCACTCTGTCTCCCAGGCAAGGGCCCAGTGCAGGCAGAGGCCACCCGGCAGAGGGAGGGCAGGGCCTGGCACTCACCCTGCTCCTGGCGCCTCAGCTGCAAGCTCTCCAGCTTTGAAGTCCTGTTTCCCTCATCCTGTCCAGATTCCTTTGCAAAAACTCATGGAACTAGAACTTGCAAAGAGTCATTCATAGTCCAAAATGCCTGAAGAACTCTTTTAATGAGATTTTTCAAGACTTTTCATCTCTTTCCCCCACTGACCGCCTTTCCAGACAGGAAACTATATTAGAGTGTGATGTGTTTGTGCCAATTTCTAAATTCTCAATCCCTTGCTTCCAGAGGCTGGAGTGAGTGCACGCGGGGGGTCAGTGGTTGACACCAGGGCCAACATGTCTGCTGGTTGCTGAGAGGGAGCCTAAGGACCTGCTGCTCTGTCAAGCCAGGCTGCACATGGGAGGGAGGGAGAGTTCTGCAGAGCGGAGGGGACAAGCGCAGTGTTCCAAAAGCAAGCAGGCAGGATCCCGGTAAGACTGCTTCACAGGTGGGGGCCGTGCGCCATGGAGGGGACCGAGAGGCGATGAGTGGGGAGTGCAGGCGCCATCTTGGGTTGTCATGGGTGCAGGAGCTTTCGGTGGGGGGCAGAGGGGGGTAGCCTTGGCTGGTGCAGGGATCTGTCAGTCCCCACAGCGGGAAGCAGTCGCCATCTCCAATTGTGAGTATGGTTAACTGCCAGCTGGGGAGACTTAGGTCAATCATGAATCCCCGATGGGCCTCAGTCTCCCCACCCAGGAAGCAAAGGGATGGACTAGGTGGGCCTCACAGCTCACTTCCAGGCTTGACATCTGATGACCTTCTGACCTGGTATGAGGAATGCTTAGAAGGGGGTGGGAAGACGCTGGTGGGAGTCCGCTGCCTCTGCTCCGGCCTTGACAAGGTCGTTCTGCTGCCTCTACCCTGCAATGGGCTTCGCCTGGGCTGTCCCCTCTACCTGGAAAAAAAACACCTACCATCCCTTTAAGGTTCAAGTGCAACTCCTCCCTGCAGCTTTTCCTGACCCTCTGTGGCAAGGACTGCTACCCCTGTTCAAGGCCCTCTGTGCAGCGTGGCCTGGGCCGGGCTGTTCCCACCTTGGCTCTACCTCTGCTGCCCTGCCCAGTGCCCAGTACGGAAGGTTCTCATAACTATGCTGAGAGAAGGACGGAGAGGGTGGAGGGCCTGTCCTCTGAGGCCAGATTCCCCCGAGTCCTTTCTCCACCCTAGAATCCTTTCACAGAGTGACCTAAGTTTACAAGAAAACATAGCTGGAATTCCAGTGTCAATTTGCACCACGCTCCTGACAACCTTGTGCATAGGGAGGGCCACTCCATGCCCTGAGCGGCCAGGCAGGCCTCGGGAACCTGAGAGTCCTCACGCCTCATGGGGTGCCTGGCAAAGCTGGCACCTGTCCAGGCAAATGGCATGTTCAGCTCCAGTCCCACTGGTGGTCCAGGTGCTTAATGCCAAGTGTCCCTCACTGGCTGGCAGCCAGACTGGTCATTGGGAACTGGGGCTACTTTGGGAAGCCAGCCTATGCTCCCTTAACCAGCTGCCCTGCCCAGCCATGGAATGGCCTAGCCCACCTCCCCAATTTTGAGCTTCTTCAAGGGAAATCTGATCAGGAGGACCACCCCTATGGCTTTTGGGGTGTAACAGCTCTAGACAAACATGCATCCATGGGCAGAGAGACCAGTCGTCCAAACTGGGCCTGATGGTCTCTGGCTTTGGCCACCCCCAGGCCCGCGTTCCAGCCCAGTTGCTGTTTAGCGTATTGAATTTTCCTCAGCTGCGATCACTGACCTGATTCTTTAAGCTGCCGGGTGTGAGGGTGGACAAAGATGTACACAGGTGTCTGTGGTCCTGAGTACCTTCCTGGCTGCCCTCCCTGGCAAGCTGGTCACCCGGCCCCTGGTGTAACCCCAGAGATGAGATGCTCACCACCTACTGAGTCAGCTGGAGGCCACTCTAGTTCTTGATCTGGAACAGCTCTGACTGTTCGCAAACTCTTCCCTCACTGAGCTAGAATCTGCCTGCCCGTAACTCCCTCACCTGGGGCCCCCTGACCGCGGGCGCGCTGTCTGCCCTGATAGCCCTTGAAAGGCGTGTGGTTCCCACCATGTCTCCGCACGTTGTCCCTTCTCCAGGCAGACTTCCAGTGAATGCCTCTGTTTCCTGCCCAAGCAGCCCTGTAGTTTGTCACTGGCCCTCACAGGGCGGAGCCCAGCACACCGGGCGGGAGCGGTCCTGAGCAGACAGCGCAGGCCAATCTCCCCCTCGGGGGCTGCGCTGATCTCCCTGCCCTCACAGCCGGCCTGCAGGCGGGCTCTCCTGACCGTCGCGTCCAGCAGGCCCTCTCCCCGCCACGTGCCCCCTAACACCGGCGACAGAGCAGAAAGCAAACAGAGAGGGCTTTGCTATTGCTGGTAGTCTGTGCTGGCCGGAGGCCTGCGTTTTTCTGTCATTAACTAATTAGTCACTAACTAATTAATTCTGTCACTAATTCTCTATGTGTCCTTGGGCAATCCCTCCTCTCTCTGGGCCTCGGTTTTCCTATCTGTAAAACGGGGTTTAGACATCTATTGGGTTCTGTCTAGTAACAGCACTGACGAAGGAAGCACTCAACCAATAAAAACTTTTTTCTTATTTTGGGGCTACCTAACGGGACTGCAATGCCTCATGGGTCAGAAAGACCGGACAGTTCACAAAGCAGCCCCGGGTGCTACCACCATCGGGACTCTTCCCAGCTTTTCCCCCTGTTCCTCCCGAAAACTTTTGTGAAATACCTAGAAACCAGGCCTGTCCGAATAGCAACCTGGAACACAGGAAAAGGTTGTTCTCACAGCAGCAGTGGAGAGTCAAACGGCTGGTCTCGAGTCCTGACCCTACGTCTTGGACCAACCATAGTCCCTCTCTGTGCCTCAGTTTCCTTACCTGCGAAACGGGGACAATATGTTTTTCATCCAAGGATGGTGTGAGGCCTGAGAGGGACTAGGTATGCTAAGAACTTCATACAGTCCCTGGCGCCCAGCCGATGTGAAAGCTATTCTTGGTTATTTAATATAAATCCTAGGAAGAGGCCCCTCCTCTTCTGGGGAGGCAGAAACAGAACATAAAGACTCCTCTGTATCCCAGGGGAGTAAGATCAAATTGAAAAACGCAGGCTTGAAATAACTCGTGCTGGCAAGTTTCCCGGGGGGATGCCGGCAGGTCTCGGCCACGGACACAATATGGCCATGCTTCGCGTGAGGCTGCTGAGAAGGGCTCAGGGGTGACGAGGCTGTACTCACTTCAGGGACAGAGAGTAGTCGTGCTTGCTGGTCTGGCTGTTCCGGACAAGGTAGCTGCACTCCTTGCAGAGTCGCAGCAGGTTCTCGGCGTCTCCTCTGCTGATGGCTCCATGATACCATCTGTGGAGAAGGGAGAGGGTCAGAATCCTAGGAGAGGACCCTGAAACGTGCTCCTCCCCGAGGAGGCGCGGTCCCCTCATGACAAGGCAGGTGCATGTGCATGTGGGTCCGAGTCATTCTGTACACATTTACCGAGTGCCTGCTGCCTGCCAGGTCCCGGGGAGAACAGGGACAAACTCACAGCCGCCTCCTGCGTGAAGGCAACGTCCTAGTGTGGGTGCTATGGAGGAAACAAAGCGCGGCCGCGTGGGCCAGGGCTCTCAGTAGGGATGGCTATTTTAAGCAGTGGCCAGGGAAGCCTTCCGGGGAGAGTGATGTTTGAGCGTGGACCTGAGGAGGTGATGGAGGAAGCCACAAAGGCCAGCAGCTGGAAAAGAGCATTTGGGCAGAGGGAGGGGCAGCAAAGGCAGAGGGCCGAGGCAGGAGGGCCCGCGGTGTTTGGAAACAGTAAGGAGATCAGTGTGGAGTGCGGCGAGGGGCGGGGACAGGCGCAAGGGGCCGTGAGGCAGAGCTGGGTCTGGGGCCTGTGTGCGCTGTGAGGATTCTGGCTTTCTCCACCCGCGTGACCCCGCAGCCATCTGAGGGTGCTGACAGGAGGGACAGGTGCTGGCTCTGTGACATCTGCAGGACAAGTGAGCCACGCTCATCGCTCAGCAGGGTGGCCACCCCGGTGCTGCTGCATTGACTGGACATGTGGGGTCCCAGCATCGCAGTTTCCGGACACCACGTGGTGGCGGCGGAAGCAGAAGAGGATACAGTGGCTGATGGCCTACGGCCCCCGACTGCTGCACAGAAGGGGAAGAGGGATTGTTGAGACCGGAGAAGTTGAAGGTATAAATTCAGTGGAAGAGCAAAAACACCACTTAGTGGGTACATGCAGATCACTTTTCTGTTTACATTACAGTCTCTGAGGGGCGGGGGCAGTGGGAAGGTGGGGAGAGATAGGGTCGGGAAGAGAACCAGAGGTGCTGGACCGCGAGGCTGGATCACGCTTTGACCGCAGAGGCACATACGGGTCGGTCACTGTCCAGCCAGGGCGTCTGGGGCAAGTGGCTGCATCTGGCTGAGCCTTGGTTCTCTACCAAGTTAGGATCACTCCACCCCTGTTTGGGGGTTGGAGTACATGGGGTGTTAACAGGGCTTATGCAGAGCCTGGCATGGGGTGAGTTTCAGTGAATGGCAGCCACACGCATCAGCAGAGAGAGGCTGAACTTGCAGACAGCCGCGGGTGACTTCCCCAGCTGTCCGATTCCAGGCTGCCGCCTTTTCAATTCCCAGGCGTGAGCGGGGATGCCGCCTCCTGGCCCTGCCGTGAGCGCCCTGCGAGCAGCCCCAGGAGTTCAGTGACAGAAAGTCTCCTAGAGAAACACACGGTGCTCAGGCCAGCTGCCCTTCACCGTTCACTTTCTGCCTTTCACAAGGCAGTGCCCTGCACCGGAAGCCGCAGTGGTGATGAAGTCATTATAAACAAACAAACAAACAAACAAATGAGAAAACACAATCAGATTTAGGAAAGCAAGGGCTGGAGAGTAGATGTGAGTGTTCCTGTCCCGTCAGCATGTGACTGAGTCGCTGACAGCCGAGGTGACTGCTCACTCACAGGTCAGCCCTGGGGCTGGATACCTGGAGGGGAGACTGGCCAAGGGAAAAAGCAGGGAAGCGTGCAGACCAGAGACCCGCCTTCCTTTCTAAACCTGTGTAGAAATTAAGAGAAACGTGAGGGTGGGGGCTGGCTGGGCTGCCACGATTACAACACTCCCAGCATCGTGAAGGCGCAAGGGAGGCTTCAGAAAGGACCCAGGACTGTAACTGGGGGAAGCAGACCAGGGTGGCGCCGACTTCGGGACCAAGAGTCAACATTTGGCCAAGGTGGTTTTCTGGGAAATGTCACCTGTGTAACACACTTCCAGTGAGCTGACAAAAAGTGTGGTTTTATTAGGAAAACAAGTTCCAGCCATTTGACACCAAGGCGTCCTCAGGGAAAGGCCTGGAAAGTGGTCGCGGGGGAAGTGCTGGCTGCCGCCGCCCCTCCCTGAGCACAGGGGCAAGCGGGCTCTCAGAGACGTGGGGGCTCTGGGTCCCCGAGAAGGGCAATCCCTGGTGGGCAAACAGGAGGAGCTGCTGGTTAACTCCTGGGCTGCTCCAGCTGCTCCACATGGGGAGAAAGGCAGGGGACTCGGGGGAGGACGGAAGAAGACCCAGGCGGCGTCTGGGAGACAAGGGCCAAAGGACGCCGAGGGGAAGCAGGGGGCTGGCCGGGGGCAGGGTGGCAGGCGGTGGCGGGGGGGCCTGTGGGGGCTGGCGGCCGACTGCTGGCCCTGAGCAGGCCCTGCCTGGACCGCAAGGAGGAGGACACCTTGGGGATGTGCTGGACTTTGTGGAGCTGGCCCGTCAGGTCAGAACGATGGAATTAAGATTCAACCATCGCCACCCCAGCCCATCCAATATGCATTAGTTGATCCAATATTTACTCACCACCTTCCCCATCCTCGATCTCATGGGGCCGACACAGGGAGATGGGGAATCAATATCGGTTCTGGAAACGATTTCAGATAGTGACAAGTGCTACGGAGGACTACTGGGTTTCTGATAAGGTGGTGACTGGGGGTGGGGAGGGTGAAGGGGGAGCCTACTTTAAAATGAAGGAGGCTTGTAAGGAGATGGCATGTGACCTGAGACTCTGCATCATGAGAAAGAACCGAAGGAAACATGTTCTCTGCAGAGGACCAGCAAATACGAAGTTTCTGAAGGAGGAATGCGCTCAGGGTGCTCATGGAGCAGAGGAGCAGAAAGGATGCCCGGCACCGTGAGGGGTGGTACAGGAAGAGGGTGGAGCGGGAGCAGGGGTCCGGTTCCCTGAGGCCTTGTGGGCCACGGGAAGGAGGGCGATTTCATTCTAAGCACAGTAGGGGGCAATGAGAGTTTTAAACAGACATTACTTGCTCTGGATGATCTTACAAAAGGTCAGCCCAGCTGTCCTGAAGAGGGGCCAGAGGGGAAGTGAAGCAGGACCCAAGTTACGAGGCCTCTGCAGCGGTCCGGAGGGGAGGTGGCCGCACACATGAGAGGAACGGACAGATTCGGGCTGTTATTTTGGATGGATAATCGGCAGAGCTTACTAATGCGTTACATGCTGATGTAAGGCAGAAAAAAGGACTGAAGATGATTCCAGGTTTGAGGCTTGAGCAACTAGGCAGATGTGGTGCTGTTTACGGGGGTGGGGAAGCTGGGGCGAGAGTGAGGGTCTAGGAAAAGATTAGGAGCCCAGATCCGAACACCTGAAATTTGAGATGCCCATTCGTCAGCCAAGTGGCGATGCCAAGAAGGCAGTTGGATCGAGCGTTCTGGGAGAAGTGTGGGCTGGGACGCGCGCTGGTGACTCATCACTAGGACCCCGAGGAGACTACCCGGGGAGAGTGCGTGGTTGGAAGCGGAGCCTGGACAGACCACCCTTCAGGTCAAGCTGAGGTGAGCAGCCAGCAGCCGGGAGGGGCAGGAGAAAAGCCCCAGGCAGACCGTCTGTGAAGGAGGGAGCCGCCTGCTATACTGACTTGCCATGGAGGACAGAGGAGGTCACCTGGTGACCCGGGCAGCAAAGGGAAGCAGACTGTGGTGGGTGAGAAAGAAGGGGAGGTGACGAGGCCAGGGAGAATGTGCTGGCAGCTCAGCGGGGACTTTGTCCACTCATCAGACAGCTATTTATCGAGCACCTATTATGTGCCAGGCACATTCATACTGAGGACACTGGTGACCCAAACAAGTTCCTGCCCTCACAGAACTTATGTTCCCAACAGGGGCAAGAGCTACAGGAAGATCAAGATTTTATTTATTTAGTTACTTTCAAGAAGTTTGTTAAAACAAAACACTTCCTGATGCAGGGCGGAGAGGGTTATAAGCTGCCTCCAGGAGGCGGGGGGTGGGAAGGGTGTCCCCTGAGCGGCTTTCCCACTGTCCTGGGAGGGAAAGCAGGCAGAGGAGTGGCTGCTCATCCTCAACAGCCCTCGGTGTGTCAGTGTCCTCCTCCCTCTCCCCTGGGCTAGGTTGGAGGAGAGGCCGGGACATGGGGGTGCCTCCCAAACTCTGAGGCACCATCAGCCGGGGGCTAGGGAGGGGAGGGATTAGGTGATCCTCTCCGTTTGGGTCACCCGGATGCGCGGGAAGTGGGATTTTACCTGAGCACACCTCTGGGTGATGAGTCAGGGCCTTCGGCAGGCCAGAGTAATCCTGGGAAGAGGAGATGACGGGGGAGGGAAAGCTGGCCATGACTCTGGACTTGGCCAAGGGCCCTGTGGAGTGGGAACAGGAAAGGAAAGCACGCGGCACTGCCTTCCAGGGCCCCGGCCTGACGAGAGCTCTGCCGGGGGTGGGGGGAGAGCAGGCTGGGCCGCTGACCCCAGGCAGACCTGGGTCAGGATGCACGCTGAACAACTCCTGGCGTTTCTGCATCACACTGCGTTTGTTGATTAAAAAATACAGTTTGATCAGACATAAGCAAAACCTGCCACCCAATCTGCATGGCTATGAAGAACGATGAATACAACGCCTGCTGGGAGCACTCTCCCCTCCATGTGCTCAATATAGCAGGCGACGGGCAGGCCCCAAGGAGGCTGCAGCCTCCCGAGATGATAGCACATGCTTAAAATGGGCCCACGAGCGCATGACATCATCGGAAAACCCTGCATCCTGCTCACCGGGCGAGCATTTCCTGCGAGGGGTGCACTGCCAGCCTTGCTGAGACCAGAATCCCTGGGTGGAGACTGAAATAGTTCGTGATCCATGTGAGACAGTCTTAGGAGGAACCAGCTTGGTGACAGCTAACCTCTTGTCCCACTGGGTGCCTGCTCTGTGCCAGGCGTGTGCGGAGGGTGGGGGCCAAGAATGTGCACGAGGAGAGGAAAGTGAGGGGAGAAGTCATGGGGCTGGAGTTCAAATTCTACTTCTTCCCTGGAACCTTCAGAGCCTAGGAAAGGCTCTGCCCCTCGTCGATCCTTGATTTTCTCATCTGTCTAATGGGGGTGATAACCCCATTTATCACACATTTGCTTGTTAAGAGGCTGATACACCAGCACAAGACCCAGGACCTGCTCGATCATGTTCCTGGAGAAGCTCACTCTAGCTCAGGTGTGTGGAATGGTGAGAAAATGGAAAAGCAGCTTGGAGCCATTTACAGAGCGGCAGCCTTGGGCGAGGGGACTCTGCCCTGGAGGTGATGGGGAGCTGAGGGCTTCAGAGCTGAGTGAGGACCTGCACCTATTAAGCTCCTAGGCAGAGGAGGGAAAGGATCGCCACGGCCAAGGGAGGGCAGAAGCGGGCCTGACCCGCAGTGCTGGGGAGAAAACCCAGATCCAGAGGGTCAAGGCCTCCCCAGCTAACACCAAGCAGATGTGGGGCAAAAACAACACAAGCTGGAAAATAAATCTAATTTACAATTAGGGCGCACGATTTGGTATACATTTAGCTATCAGAAAACTCATTGGCTACACGATGAAAATAGGAACTGGGATGTAAGAGGGAAGAGTGAACCGTGTCCCTCCTACTAGTCATCAAAAGTAAGGGAGGTAACACCGTGTGGACAGAGAATGCACCTGGCTGGGGATAAGACACACGTCCTAACCCCGTTCTGCCATGAACCTGAGTGTGGCCTCGACCTCCCGCGAGCCTCAGCCTGCCCATCTGTACATGGGGACAGGGGAGGGCAGTAGACTAAAGGACCCCTAGAGCTCTGACATTTTCTTAGCCTGTGAATTTTAAAAACAAGATCAAGAAAACAAAGGGAAGAGCAGTGACTGTATGGTATGAACTGGGAGCTGAGGTGGAGCTTCGCCCCCTTAGAACTTACATTTGCTTCTCCAGCGGGACAGCAGGGTCCACTCTTTCTCCCAGGATCCCACAGAACTCGGGGCTCCCGTGTTTGATGGGCTTGAAGCCCCCGCCGGGAGCTCGAAGCTGGCGCCGCCGGTCCCGGGAAGGCGAGGGTGATGACTGCCGTTTCTCGTTGCCGTTAAACTGGGCTGCGGGGGACAGAGAGAGGGAGCAAGGTTACCGGGAGCTCAGCCTGAGGAGTCACTGCGTGGTGCAGTGGGGTAGGGGTCGGCTGACTGCTCTCGCTGGGGCTTTTCAATCCTCAGGAGGAAGGACTCCAGGCAATGAACAAACATGGCTCAAAAGATGTGAACGTCCTAAGACAGGGCACGAAGGTGCTGTTAAAGCCGGATGGTACGTTCAAGGGGCTTGTTAAGTCTGCAGAGGCCACTGAACAAAGCTTTATCCCCAAAGGAAGCTCCTGCAACCTCCAGCAAGGGCGGGGGGGGGGGGGGGGGGGGGGCACGGCACACCTACAGGGGCTCAGGCCCCTGGACAACTTTCAGGAAAGTTATTCCTTGTTTGGTGCCAAGAGCCTGCCTCCAAGTAGCTCCTTGTCTGCTCCTGTTCTCCCATCCCAACAGGGGCCGCACTGGCCATATTGCCCCCCCTTTCCTGAGACAACCCCACTGAGTTCCACTCCAGGTCATATGGCACCTCCCAGGCCTGCATCTCTTCACTCAGTGCCCCCTGGGTGGGCCCTACACAGCCAGCCCTGCCCTCGACCCAGCCCCCAGGGGAGGCCTGACATTGCTAGTCACAGGGGGACAGGCCCTCCCATGGGCTTTTGTTCCTTCCTGGGCCTGAGGGAGCATCGTTTACCCCCACGGGTTTAGGGAAGGTCCCTTTGAGGGCAGGACCCCGGAGGTTACCCACAGACAGCAAAAAACACTGAGGTGAAACTGGAGCTGCTGGAAGCATTCCTGAAGACCAGCTAGTCCACCTTGCAAGTTTCTCTTTGGGCCTCAGTTTCCTCCTCTCAAAAATAGGGACAGTGACGGCACCCACCTTGTGGGGTTGTTGTGAGGATTCGATCAGCTGGTGCACACAGACGCCTTAGCAGAGTGCCTGGCACGTGGTCTGTGCTCAGTGTTATCCATTATACGTATGTATTTTAATCGTCATGTCTGCTCAGTGTGGACGCAGTACTAGTTGCTAGGAGAAAGCTTCTGAGCAGATCTGAGTTCCTCTCCTAAGTCTGCCCTGGCTACCCGCGAGCCTTGGCTAAGTTACTCAGCCTCTCCGAGGCACATTTCCCCTGTCAGCAGGCTGCTATGATGATCAGATGAGGGAACACATCCTAAGAACCTTGCACACTCAGAGTGCTGAGTCCACTGGACCAGGGCCTGTGAAACAAGGCTCCCAAAGTTGTGTCCAGCTGCTGGCCAACGGACACACGTCCTTGGCCAGGCAACATGTCTCCCCTACAACCAGCAAGCGCAGATGTGGCGAGCCGTCCTCTGACCCCAGCCAGACACACAGCAATCAACCTCACACTCACGGACGGCGGCGGTGGGGGAAAACTCAGCCCGTCAGTGGTGCTGTGCTGTCTATGGGGACCGAACTTGGTCTGTGGGGATCGACTTGTCCTATGGCTGAGACAAGACCGTCCGTCAGGTCTGTGGAGCACTTGCATCCTTCCAAGACACTCTTCTCTATTAACCATGAAAGAAAACAGTAGGTAGGGAGCTCCCTGCCAGAGTGTTGGATCCAAGTGTGTGTGGTCACTCTCATGACTGCACTGGGGCCTAGCAGGGCATCCATTCACCTGCCTTACCCCCAAACATTCATTTACACGGGCCAAGCACAGTTCAGGGTTGGGAAATCGGCAGTGAGCAAAGAGAGAGAGAGAGAGAGAGAGAGAGCCCTGCCTGTGGAGCTCAGAGCCCGCGGGAGGAGAGACAGACAATCCGTGGCGTACGCCAGCCCCACAGCATGCGAGCTGATGATACGTGCTGTGGAGAAACTAAAGCCGGGCAGGGCAGGCCTCTCAAAAGGTGACATCTGAACGAATTCCTGTAGGAAAGGAGGGACGGGCCATGTGGACATCTGTTGGAAGGAAGGAGTTTCCAGGCAGAGGGAAGAGCAAGTTCAAGGGTCCTGAGGTGGGAATATGCCAGGGGTGTTGGAGAAACAACACAGTCCAGGGCAACTGGAGGATAGTGGGGGCTGGGGAAGGTGAGTGGGAGGAAGCAGGGCTCTGTGGGCCTCAGGAAGGGCTTGGATTTTATTCTGAGAGAAAAGGAGAGCCATTCGGATGTTTTGACGGGGAAGGTTTTAAGCTGGCACTTTTTATAACAGGGTTGCTGTGCTGAAAAGAGATGGAGGGCAAGCGGTACATGGGAACTCTCTGTACTCCCTGCTCAATTTCGCTGTGAACCTAAAACTGTTCTTTAAAGAAGTTTACTTAAAAGAGAGAGAGAGATGGAGGGGGAGCACAGGGAGTAGGGAGGCGGGCCTTGGAGACGTGCATGGAAGGGACGGTGAGCCGCAGATTCCGGCTGCGTTCGGCGGGCAGACACAGCAGGGCTCGCCTCTGTATTCAGTGTGGAGTGTGAGAAAGGGAGGAGACAACAGGCTTTTGGCCTGAGCACTGGAAGAACGAGGCTGGCTTTATCCAGGAAGGGGAAGACACAGACAACTCTGAGCTTCGTGAGAAGAAAGGATGGGGGTCGAACTCCAACCTAAAGACACTGACAGCCCATGTCGCTGGGACTGGCAGCGTGGAGCAGGGGCAGACTGAGGGCTGCTGGGGCTCCTGCCGTCCTGCCCGGCTACAGCTCTGTCCCGTGTCCAACCACAGGGACAGAGAAGACAGCAATGACCTCAGGGCCCTTCCAGGGAACAAGCCCTGGGGTTGCATGTATGAGAAAGCCCTCTTCTACCTGGCTAATGAGCTGGGCTTTCATAAAGGTCGTGAGGCGGTGAAGCGCAGAGCTGGGGCTGTGGCACCCCTGTCACCGTGGGTCCCTCCCTGGCTTCCCAGTGGCCTGGCTCTCTCTCCAGGACTCTGCTGAACCACACCAGCCCGCCCTCATGGCAACCAATGAAATAGGGTATGCTTTGGGGGACAAGGAGGGCGAGGAAGAGGTGAAACAATTTCTGACCTGAGCCACCTACCTTGCAGAGCCCTGGGAGCAGGCAGACGAGTAAGGGCCTGGTCAGACAGCCTCTTTCTGAAGAGCTGGGACTTGGTCCCATGGGTGGGTTGAATCAAGCAATTGCTCTCCCAAGTTGCGCTTTAGAGTCCTCCCCGACCGCTGATGGAGTGCGGGTCTGGGGCAGCCCTGGAGTCAGGGAGGCCAGTTGAGGAAGGTGACGCAGGCCAGGTCCCTCAATGGGAGGAATGCAGGAGGTGATGCCCCACGGAGATGCGGGCGGGGCGGGAGACGGGTCAGAAGCCTGGGGCCGCCTTGCGCTTCCCCAGGCCACGGCCCCTCTGCTCACTCTCTGGCTGTCAGGAGTGGAGAGGAGGCCGCAGGCTTAGGGGCACAGTGTGGGGAGGGTCCAGGACAGAGATGAGGTTCTCGGCTCAGTTTTGCCACAGGCGGAGGAGAGGGGGACCAAATGAGCTCTAAGGCATTTTCACCTCTGACAACCTCCATAGGCTCCATCGGCTAAAATTAGAACCTAAGGATTCCTGCCAATATAAATGCCCATTCCACACTGCCAGGCCCGGGGCGGGAGACGAGAGAGGCGCGGAGCGTGGAAGAAACCGAAGCTCTTCAGAGCAACCAGCGACCTGGCCTGCTGCCCAGCCTCAGAATTCACCCTTCCAGGCCGCGGCCTCCGTCTGAACCACCGCGACACGCCCTTCCACCCGCTCGACCAACCGCGGCGCCCGACGGATTCCACACACTCTTCAGGGGTCGCCTCTTCCAGGAAGCGCTCCCTGACCTCAGCCCCTCCTCAGACTAGCCTTGACTTCAGCCTATGGCATCCCAATTGCCAGTTTCCCTGTCTGGCTCCCCACAGTGCCCTCCAGATCAGGGGCTGTACCGTGTTTGCCCCACCCCCATGCCTAGCACACGCCTGCCACGTAACAAGTGCTCAACAAACGACTGAATGAAGAAACTTAATAAGATGCTGATTCACTTTACTGGGGAAAAAATATCAGTTTTCTTACCAGATAAATTGGATAAAACCTAGCAACATCCCAGCCAACACTGTAATTCCCCGCTGAATTAATTTATACATTCGCTCGCGAGCTTAATAATATAGCCATATATTTTAGAGAGAACAGGTGGTGGTGAATGACAGGCTTAATTAGGCAAATCATTTCACCTAAAATAAAAATATACAAACTCCAAGTGCAGTGATTCAGGAGCAAAAGAAAAAAAAAAACACGTTGAGAACAAAAGCTCTAAACACTACTGCCTTCATTCCTTCTAATTAAGTTTCACTTTAATCTGCAATTTAAAATGGCAATTCTTTTAATTTAGTGATTTTCTGCAAAAGATAAAGGAAGACACAGCCCTCAAAAGAATATCTGCATTTAGAGAAAAAAATGTGCCACCCCTGCAGAGTCGTTAGAATGACAGAACCTAATTAATTCCACCTATAGGCAATTACAGATGGGAGTCAGAGTTCTGCGGGAGGGAGGGGAGACCAGCAGGGCAGGACCAGTCCCCTCCCCGCACCCGCACCCGCACCGGGGCAGCGGGCAGCGGCAGAGGGGGCCCAGTTAATGGCTCCACCTGCCTTTCCTGGGGCAGGTGAAAAGGCCCCTTTGTGATGCCTGAAATGTCCTTCCAAAAGGGTCTGAGGGCGGACCTCATCCCTTGAGGCCCAGCTCAGGCACCCCCACATTCCAGGAGGCCTTTTATTTCCCCCTCCATCCAGATTAGCTTCCAATGCTGGCCCCCCTCTTCCTTGTAAAGTCCTCGCTTCACATCATTGGCAGGTTCTGCCACTTTCAGCGAAATGACATACATAACAAAACCAATGCTACCACAGGCTGATGGATATAAGTAAGAGTTAAGTTCCTATGGCATCTCATCAACGTTATAATGAAATGGTGTTGAGTGAAAGGGCGTTACTTGAAGGTCTGCTGTATTGTGGATTTTATACCAATAGGTCATGAAATTTGGTCACTGAAAATGAGGGAGGATGGTGTCCCAGGCACCCACACCGGCTCTGACCCTCACAA